TTTGCACCGCGTATTTGTTCACCCAGTGAAACACGTAAAACTATGCCTGCCTATCCTGCAAGAACATGCTGTCCTCCGTCACACCTTAATTTCCTTATAAAGGCACAAATCTTAATGCGTCTCCATACATAACACCTACATTCCATTGAGCATGGATTGTTGTTAGAGCAGAGCTGTAGGAGCTCGGTAGGAGTGTTCAAACATGAAAGATATAAATGAACGAATAAAGAAAATAACACAAATACAGTGTTGCGTGCAAAATCATCATGGCATCAAAGCCAGACGCCATCCATACCTGCCCTTCCCACAACACCCATCACGCCCACGATCGGGACGCTATTCCCTATCGATCGTCTTTGTCATCGCGAGCGCTTTTTTACGTAACTCTGACGAACGCGCCGCACCACCAAGTGAGAAGTTGCCACGCACCAGCGCTCTTGTATAAAACGAGCCCCCGGACTTGCAAACATGCGTCGAGTGGGGGAAATAATCCGCGCCATCTCCACCGCCGTCGTCACAGGGAGTGACGCGAACAAACAAAAACTGAATGGTAATTCTCTGAATATTTGGTAGAACTGGGAGCCTAAGTAATTTTGCAAGATACGCCCACATAAAAAAAAATCACTCACTAAACAATGCAAGCAGCTGCTCGGGTGCTAAGAGCATAGGTTTATTATTACAATGCTTATCTAAAGGTTTAGAAGGACTTGTCAGGATAGACTCTTACTGGATAATAGACAAATAAATGAATGGTGTCACCAAAATAAATGTTATAAAGGCTGCGCTCACACACGTCCTTAAAACATCGCTCGATTTTTGTTGCAACGCGTAGAAAATCACACTCATGCTTAAAGCACTTTACACACGACTTGAAAAAAGCCGTCTCGGTACAGCCTGCCAGATGAATATGCCCGAGATCCCTTTGGCGCCGCTGAAATTGATTCCAAGTACTATTTGAGCTGGAATGTGCCAACTACCTGTGAACCGTGCGGGCACGGTGGTGGTGGTCATGTCACATGGACCGTGTGGGCCATTGAAAAGGTCCCAGCTCAGATGAATTTGCAAAACAGCAGACGTTGAGAATTTCAACAGATTGATTGGAGAGGCTGCGCTGGTGGTGGTGCACAAGCTCGAGCCCTACTCTAACACATCCGTGTATAACACACGGGCCTGAAAATAAAAATGTATATAGATAATAGGTGATGTTTGGGCAATGGTACCCTTCTTCAAAGTACGTAGAGAGTCCAGAGAAATGGAATGGATGCTATGGGGCCTAATGAGAATAACATAAAAAAAATGAAGACCAGTTGTTAAATTAGCATATGAATAGTTACCAAATAGTAGCCATTGGGTAACAGTCAAGCTCTTTAATGATAACAATAAAGTATTTAGAAATAGACTAATTTATGTGACAGATAAAATTCAACAATGTTCTGGCACATGGCATTGTGGGAAGATTTGTTCGTGTGCGCACAAGGCACAATCCACCTGGCAATGCACCCCTGGGCCCAGACACTGGGAAAGGAAAGCACGTGTCTCCAATGTGCGCGGCTTCAGAAAAGTGTCTTCACGACGCACATTAATGAGCCGTGCTCCCAATTGCTCCAAACACAACGGCTCTGGCGAGCGGACGGTGCACAGATAGGTTTTTACGGGCGCACGCGAAACCGAGTAACTTTGGAGGACTTGGAAAAAGTAAATTCCACGGAAGGCACACATTTACTTTTGTTCTGCAGCACGTGCGCGGGCTGCTTCTTGTGCCAAAAACTGGTGAAAGGGTAAACAGGCTGTGTGCGCTCTCTTTCTGATAGCTCTACACGGATACTGCTGACAGTCACTGGAAGGCTGCTCGTTTAAACAAGCCAAGCCAAACATGCGCACGGAGGGGAAAAACAATTTACAACGGAAATTAAATAAATAACAGCACACCACCATGCTTCCAAAACCACTGCCTCTCCCTCGCAGCGGCAATCATAACATCGGCGCACCAACCAGAAAACGGTTCAAGTAAATCCGATTTGACATGGCGGAATATATATTTTTTTAGACTACATGTGAAAAACGATTGCCAGTCGACGACGGTTTGTGAAGGTGTGTTTCAAAGTGATTATTTTGCTAAATTATTCCTGCAAGCTGCAACCGCACACCAAAAAAATCACGTGGGGGCTATATTTAAACATACGAAAATGACCAGATAAACTGGAATCAGATGTAGTTCAACGCAAAGTACTCACGCGTAGTTTAATCCTAATGCGAGAAATAACGCAACTTGCATGGAGACCCTGCGCAGGCCAAAGTGTCCCACGGCTCGAGAAACTTGGTAACCTGCTTAAAATGGTTCTTAAATGTGCAACAATGCATGGCATGTTCCGCCAAATTGTGGCAACGCAAACTGGACACCAGGGACCACAATCATTTACCAAACATTCAGGAAAGTTAAAGCGTAATCACAATTTGCAAATGATTGCATCTTATTGGAAAAAATTCTCAATCCGAGCAGAAATATGATGCAGTTTACCAAAAAGAAAAAAATCAACGGCGTGTGCTCCAAATCTTTGTGTAATGCACGAATGCCCAGGGAAGTCACGTCGATTATCGAGACAGTGCTAGTGTTTGCCTGGAGATGTAATTTAATCCGACTCCTGCCTTAACAAAAAAAAGTTCCTTTAGAACTTCCAGGGCTGCGCGGTAACGGGACATCTGGCAGAATTCTACTCCAACCTGGGCTGCTTCTGGATCAATGCGGGGAAAAAGTTTAAGATGGGAGATTGCCATCTGATCTACAGACAGGTATATCATTTGAAATCCTGATGAGACAAGATGTCAAATAATAAGCAAAGAGAAACCATGGCCTCCTCCATTCACACAGGACCAACCAAAGTGAAATTATACCGATGCATATCATAGCCTTTCGAGTAAATGTGTTCATATCTCACGTAAAAATCACGCAGAGTTATTGCGGAAAATAAAAGTAGCTAAATTAAAAATCAGACCGTACGCTTCTTCACAAAAAAATTAGTTTTACATATCGCATCAGCCACACTGCCTTTTGTGAGTGAAGATGTTGAGCAGCAATCATTGGGATTATTGGCTGATAAGGGTTACACTGTGTGCTTTTATTTAGCTATGAGAGAAAACCAGATATCCCACGGGAATCAAATGCAGAACAGGGGGAGATCATACAAACTCCTCACACTTTTACACTCACACTGTAAAACATGGGGAGGTCATGCAAACACCTAACAATGATTCACTCACTGACACACTCACACAAACTCACATTCACGCTCATTCAGGAGAACATACGAATTGCACACAGAAAGGCGCCCGAGGAAGAAATAGAACCCCGGCCCTTCTTGCTGCAAAGGTCAGGCGTCACCACCACTGCAATGCACCCTGCCAATCAGTTTACCCCCCCCCCCCCACGTGTGTCCCAGATTCCAGTTCACACCACCGCCAAACTCACCGGAGTATGCCGAGGACTGCGCCAAACAGGACGGGGTGGTCAACGCACGCTGCAGGCTGTAGGGAAGAAGGTCAACAGTTACGCAGTGCACATATTCATTCATTATATTCCAACCACAAAAAAACTGGGGGTGCAACACTAATGGGGGGGAATTTAAATAGACCGGTGAGGAAACATTTCCTGCTGTGTACAACACAGCCAACAGAGGCACGCCACTGCCAATGAGACTGGACAAAACTGGATACCATGAAGCTATGGGAGGGGGGGGGGTAGCGGTTCGGGTAACCTGTGGAAGGTTTTCAGTAAAATATAACCTCTTTAAAAGCCTCGTGTTGCAATCAAGAACATTGACGACTCTGCCAAATACACTTAAGTTTCCAAATTAACGCTTTAAGGCTTTCGAGAAAAGGAAAATGTACTCCATGTGAGAC